ATTTGATTTGTATTTACTGAACATACCAATAGAGGTCATTTATGTTGCATTAAGAAAGAAGATGGAGTGGTGACAGTGCTAGCATAAATAGATTGCTTTGCAGTGCCTTTTCTCTGATTTCTCATCCCACACTTCACTGTAAGTTAATCTTCATGTCCTAAAGTTTCTCTGGGCTCCTCAATCTGCTCTTCTCTCAGTTTATGTTGCCCCTGCCACAGAGAATGTAATTGGGCGTTGGGTATCATTAGTCTTATGTATGGTATTAAAAGACCAAATAAGTTTTCTAAATGATTCCACTCTTTGGTTTTTGTCTAGATGCAGAAGCAAGATATGTACAGTGGTACTTAAAAGTTTGTGAGCCCTTTTGAATGTTCAATATTTCTGCATAAATATGACCTGAAATGTGATCTGTTCTCCACACAAGTCCTAAAACTAGATAAAGAGAATCCAAATAAAAAAATGAATGAAAAACTTTACATTTGTTCATTTATATTGAGTAAAATGATCCAAAGCTACATATTTGTGTGTAGCAAAAGTATATAAACCTTTGCTTTCAGTGACTGGTGTGCCCCTCCCCCCACCCCTTGGGCAGCAATAACTGCAGCTAAACATTTCCAATAACTGTTTATCAGTCCTGCACATTGGCTTGGAGGAATTTTAGTCCATTCTTCCTCACAGAACACCTTCAACTCAGGGAAGTTTGTGGGCTTCCTCACACAAACTGCCCACTTCAGGTCCTTCCACAACATTTCTATAGGATTAAGGTCATGACTTTGACTTGGCCATTCCAAAACATTAATTTTCTTCTGCTTTAACCATACATACTTCTTTGGTCATGCAACTTGGGGGTTTGGGGTCATTGTCTTGTTGCATGACTTGCTTTGTCTTGAGCTTCAGGGCATGGACAGATACCCTGACATTTTCCTGTAGAATTTGCTAGTACAGTTCAGAATTCATAGTTCCATCAATGATGGCAAGTTGTCCTGATCTAGGGGCAGCAAACAGGCCCAAACCATGGCACTACCACCACCATGTTTCACAGATGGGATACGGTTCTTATGCTACAATGCAATGTTTGCCTTTCGCCAAACAAAATGCTTTTCGTTCAAGCCAAAAAATTCTGTTTTGGTCTCAACCATCTGCAGAAGATTCTTCCAATAGGCTTATCCACATGGTCTTTCACAAACTAGATGGGTAGCAATGTTCTTTTTGGAGAGTAGTGGCTTTCTCCTTGCAATCCTGCCTTGCACACCGTTGTTGTTCAGTGTTGTCTTGATGGTGGTTTCATGAACACTGACATTCACCAATGCAAGACAGACCTTTAGTTCCGTAGACATTGCCCTGGGGTTCTTTGAGACTTCCCAGAGGTCTGTGATCTTGGTCGACCACTCCCGGGCAAAATAGCAATGGTGTGGAATTGCCTCCATTTGTGCATGATTTGCCTGACAGTGGTGGAGTCCAAACTCTTTGGAAATAGTTTTGTAACCTTTTCCAATCTGGTGAGCATTAACTGTTTTTTGGAGGTCCTCAGAAATCTTTATTTGAGCCATGACACGCTTCCACGTTCCTGTGGAAGATCAGACATTGATAGTGAATACCCAGAATTCTGTTCTTTAAATAAGCCAGGACCTCCCACACACCTGGTTATCATCCCATTAATTGAAACACCTGAGTCTAATTTTCCCCTTCAGATGAACTGATAATCCTAGAAGTTCACATACATTTGCCACACACAAATACATAGCTTTGGATCATTTCCTCAATAAATGAACAAGTATAATGCTTTTGACTTATTTAATAGGGTTCTCTATCTAGTTTTAGGACTTGTGTGGAGAACAGATCACATTTTAGGTCCCATTTATGCAGAACTACCGAAAATTCAAAAGGGTTCACAAACTAAAGCACCATTGTATAGGTGAGATCAAGGTGTTGGAAGAAAAGAGTAGTTGGGGGGTGGGGTAGGGGGAACAAATAATCAGTTCGTAAAAGAACTTGTACATTATTCCTGCTGAATCTGTAACTCCTAAACCTTCTCCAGCTTGAGAGCAGTCTGGATGTTGAAACCAACATTTGGTTTGCAGTTACATAGCTCTGCTTGTGCATTGCCATCACTTGATTCTTCAGCTGCAAATGTCTTGACGTCATGTCTACGTTCCTTCTGATAAACAGTATAAATATTTCTGCACCTAAGTTCAGCATCAATTATTTCCTCTGCAGGAACAGTTTATCAGGGTGATTTTCAAATGGGTATTTTTTTTTATAAAACCAAAAAGTTTTAGTCAATGCACATCAGTTGTTTATGGACTGTTCATAAATAAAGCCTAACCTTGTAATGTGTTATAAATTAAAATTATTGAAACAACTGCAAGACCACCCTGATTTACTGGCGTACACAATATAGCACTTGGACCAGGAGCTACTTTGAGGATTGTTTGTGCCTGGATGAATGAGCGGAAAACAAAACTTTTTGTTTTCCCTATCTGCCCCTTTCTTAATCAACAATCTATCAAGCAAAGTGACTTGCTTGCCTATTACAATCACTTATATTAGCTCCCAGCTTTTCTGTATTGGTGTCCGGTTGTTGTTGTTTTCTGCTTCGCCCCCATATATATCATGGGAGACCTTCTGTGGTCGGAGATAGACAACTTCTCACCCTGGAACACACATGATCTCTAGCGCATCCTATGCTTTGCCACTAGCCTTTGGTGGCTAATTTCAGGGTATGTAGCAAATTAAGAGGTCAAAATTGATGTGTTAAGTTTCTGCAATGCTTATTGCTTGCATTTCCACTTCTTAAAGGGCTCAACTCCCAGACACAGACTAAGTGAATCAGGTGTGAAGTGATCCACATTGGGATGGGTGGGGGAAGGACAAAATCTCTGAGACACTATCAATTACATTTGGCCCATTTACTAGTCAGTCATTACCACGTTAACCCAGATCCTACACTTTGAGACAGCAAATTATATAAGTTTTAGAACATGAGAATTGGGCTAGTGGTGGACTTACCATTTGTAGGACAGTAGCAAGTCAAATGATGCTGTTTGTTCACTTTTCATGCACTCTGAACTTTACCAGCTACTTGCTAATATAGTCTGCTTAATTTAGACCAATATAATCAGAATATAGAATGCTTGGAGCATTTTAATTTTGTTAGAACAGTTCTCCCGCACCTTTTTCTTCAAAGGAGTTTGCATGATTCTTTTCCTGTTTAGTTTTATTTCAAAACAATCCTGCAGGTATGAGAGGCTGAGAGAAAGTGAATTGGGCTCTTGGTGTTCAAAATATAATGCTGCCCTCTCCGCACTACACAGACACTTGAGATGGATCTTCCTGTCTTCTTCCAACTGATCAAAAACCAACCAGCACAGTATCTCCTCCTGCTTGCTTCACCATGTTCTCTCCCAGTTAGGCATTTAGTTATGTCAGGGGAAGAAAGATTAACAACTTTTTGGATGAATTGCTCCATTATTATGGTAAGCATGTTTTTCCATGTTTCCTCATCTTTCTGAAGGCAGAATCTACTCTGATCCATACAATATTTTTCTTATTATAGAAAGAGCAACAAAGTGTTGCATTTCTGCCATTAAAAAGGCAGGCCAACAGCCCCTTTCCTCATATTTTGTTTTTTCCCATGACACAGAAAGGTAGCTGAAAGATTGGGAGCATTATTCTGCATTCAGATTATCATGAAAAGCCCTGGGCCACCTACTTCCTTTTCTAAAATTATTATTAGACAGCTGTCCAGAATGTAGAGAAGTGCAAAAATGTAAAGTTGACTTAGTTTCAGTTTGCATTGTAGGTGCATTTTAGTTTGGAATGTGTCAAATGGGACAGTTCATGTTAAAATGTAGACTGATTTTTTTTTTCAACCTCAGAAATGCCTGAGTGGAAACTGATTGTGTCACCAATGGATTTCTGCTTATTCCCGTAATTATTTCCCATTAAAAAATAATGCAAATACTCTTACAGAGAAGCAACTTTTGTTCATAAAATATATATTTGTCTTAGGCTCAATTCAGTCATAAATGTGATAAATTAAAAAGGAGTATCTTTATGATTTTGCCACTAACCTTTAGCAATAAAGCTCATTTAAAAAAAAAAAAGTAGGATAGCGTATTCTGCATCTTTTCTCAAACTCGATCCCTCTCTTCCTTTGCTGGTAAAGACTGTCCATCATCTCCAAGTTGCTTCAAGTTGGAAAAAGCTGGCTTAGTGACCCTTAGTCCTCAAATCCTGATGAGTCAATCAATAAATAAACCAGGATCAGTTGTTTCCAGCTGTAACATTCTGACTTATTTTAATAGTTTTCAGGCCGATCCATCATGGCAAGGAAGCCACGCTGAGTGGTCTTTGGGTAGAAAAGTGGAATGAAGATAAGGAAGCAATGGATATGAGTGAATGGGGAGTTTAAAACCATCCCTGAGAACAGCAGTTGCAAACCACTTCATTTTTTCCCAAGAAAACAGCATGGGCAAGGCCATGAAGTCACTGAGAATCAAACTTCCCTTGAAGGAGACCTTATTCCAGAAAGACAGCTGTCTTCTACTACCACCATCACCACTTGCCATCTTTCCCTACCATGCTCTGCCATCTGAGAAGGCTGGACATAGCCTAGGACTTGTTCTCACTTCAGCAACAAAAGTATGGCCTAAGAGAATTGACTGTCCATTGTGTGATCTGAGATTGTGCCCAACTGGTTGTGAGATCTGTGACAGAAGTGGGAGTTCCTCAGAGGGTCAGTGGGAGCATAGGATCAGTTCATTCATTAGCTTGGCCTAGAATCATCTCCTTTAGCTGTGGCTCTCCAATGGTTTCAGACAAAGGTATTTCACAACATTTGCCTGACTCTATTAAGGGGGCAAAAAGGGTACCAAGAAAATGTTATCCTCTTACAGGAAGCTACCTCTCCTCCCATAAAGTGCAGATCTTTTTCTCTAGTTGCATGGATTGGGGAATTGAGGCCAGAATCTCTTAAAGCCAGTAGGTTTATTCCCCACCCCCGTCATGCCCTAAAGTTAATCATCACAGCTACCTAAATTTTACAATTTTTAAAGATTTTTTTTTAATCCCACTTTTATTATTTTTATAAATAACTCCAGGTGGCAAGTATACCTAATACTCCTTCCTCCTCCTATTTTCCTCACAACAACAACCCTGTGAGGTGAGTTGGGCTGAGAGAGAGTGACCGGCTCAAAGTCACCCAGCCGGCTTTCATGCCTAAGGTTTCTTGGAGGTAAGAATTTTATAAACTGCTGTGAATAATGATACTAGAATGACCCCAATACAACTCAGGCAATATGAGTTGTATTCAGCCAGTCAGAATGCAGAATTAAAACATCTTGGTATTATATAACAATTTTATTACAGCCATACCACACAGTTACACTATTTCATCATTACTACAGTATTATTTCCAAGTTCTCCCATCTACTTGGCCTGTCATCCTGCAGGTATTCCATGCAAACCTAATCTGCTAAAATGAATGTAACCCCATCATGAGGGTACAAACAAAACTACTTAACTGAACCTTTAGTCTGTCTTTGTCAATCCGCCAATTGCTGGCAGTGTCTCTCCAAGTTAAACCAAGGTTCTCTTCACCTACAGCCTAAGACTTTTTAAACTGAATATACAGATGCTGGAGTCAAATCTATGCCTTACCCCATGCAAAGCACTGTTTACAGTAAGCCGTTTCCATTTTATATTACATAAGGGAGACGAAATGCAAAGACATTGTGCACTTTTAGTACTCGGTTTCTATTTTTAATTAATATCACCTCTGAATGCTGACAATCTAGCAGTTGATTTTAATCCTATCATAGATTTCTGTCCAATTCTTATGGAATCACTGACTTGAAAGGACCATGAAGAACAACCAGCAACTATTTATCCAGAATGGTTTCATTAATCTTCACAATGCTTTGAAATCTCTAGTTACTGGCAGCCTTGATAATAAAGAGCTGAGTTTTTAAAATTGTTTGCCAATAATTTCACACTTGCTCCTGAAAATTGTTACTTGTGAGTACTTCTCTTTATGCTATATTATGTCCAAGACATACAGTATGATTTCAAGATTAGTTCTTGTGGTTATTTCTATGTAGATGTAGAGAAGACTATGATTTTGTACTGTTCATGTTTACTTCTGTGCAAGTTATTTTTGCCACTTTTTCTCTGAGAAGAAATGCAGATACAGGATTGTGCCTGCTTTGAGTAGATTTGCAGAGACTCAGATAATGAAAGCTGTACTTTTCTGTTTGCAATTCTGCTAATAGGAGTTACCCACAATTTGTCCTTGAACCTAAATAATACAGTGCATTATCATTTGCTGCCTCCTTAGAATGGCAGTCTCCAAGAAAATGGGATGTAGACATTTTGATGATTTCAAAGTTATTTTGAAGTCTCATAAAATAATCCACATCACCCACCATCTGTGGGGGTCCCTCAGAATTATTCTTCTATTGGAATTTAGTTCTTGGGGTAAAGGGAAAAAACCCTCTGATTTAGTCTGATCATATCTGCTCCTCTTATGGAAAACTGACTTCTGTGACATCCATGATTGATTCATTCTGCTTCTGCTTTAAAAAGCAGAACTGATTACTTCCAACACATTTTTTTCTACCATGAAACAGGTTTTTCCCTCTTAACATTTTGTTGATAATCCCATTTCTTATAATTTCAGCTTTGGCTAGGGTCTATCATCTGGACAAAGGGAACAATTTTGCTCCATCACTTATGTGATAGCCCTTTAAATATTTGAAAATGAGCATGATAGGCTGTCTCAATCACTTCATTTTTATAAGGATACCAAAGTCCTCCAACCTTACCTCAGAAGATTTTATCTCTGGGCCAGATCTCTTCACTGCTTCCCTGATGGAGTAAACAGTGCTGGTGAAATTTCAACAGATCAGCTTCAGAATACAAATTCTTCAGAATATTGCAAGCTTAGGTAGATAGAATCTATCTGCACAGAGGACTTGCAGATTATGCTCTCAGAAAGGCAGTTAGTATAATGGTGGCACTTCTATCCGGAAATGAGCTTGCCCTTTGAAACAAAGGTGTGAAGTTACTCCACCCAAACAGCAGCCTGGGATAGTTGGACAATATCTTCCCAGGGCAGAAAGGTGATATTTAAGGCTGCCTTTACAAGATCCTTTGAGAAGCACACTGAAATGCCTTTTCCAGAAACAGATGGACAATTCTCTGGTTTTTGCATTTTCATCACTGAAGAATCTAGATAGTCAAAGGGCTTTTTATCTGTGATACCTCAGGTAGGGATAATATTCCTGCTTGTAGCACCTTCACAGCTCCTTTACATGAGTGGTTGCAGGGTTGTAAAGGAGGAATGACTAGATTATACAGCATTTCTCTGAAAGGAAGATTAGTTTCTGTCCTTATCATCTTGGAATAGTAGACAATGTAGTAACAGTGCCTTCCTTTTGTTGTAGAGGGTAGATTGGAGTGCAGGGGATCATCTCCTTTTTGGCCACAAGAGATGACAATACCTAGACGAACTTGAAAAAGCTAAGCAGGGTTGCAGCTAGTTAGTACTTGCATGGGAGTTCACCAGGAAATCACGTGGCTGTGCACTTGATCTAGAAGTTAGAAAAATATCCCTGAAGGCAACACTGATAAATCATTTCCATCTTGTCAAGAAAACTGTATCCATGAATTCAGTAAGAATCAAAAAGACTTCTACCTTCTACATATTTCATTCAGGTAAAGACAGTATTTTGCTGGTGCATAAGCTGGTCTCCATAAGCAGTTGAAAGAACAACTTTTTCTAGGTTTACTTGCAAAAATCAACCTACCTTGTAGAACAATATAAAGTCTCCTTAAGGGTAGAGAAGTATTCAAAGCTGGTATTTCTCTATTTGTATAGGCTACTCTCTACATGTCTTGGTCCAGGCTGTAAACACAGTCCTGCCAGTTCTAGTTGCTTTGATAGGCTGGTTTCGAGTATATAGCAATGAAGTACAGAAAAAACAGGCAGGCACATATATCCGGAGGTAAGATGCAAGGGAGCATTTCCATTTCTTTTGTATTCCATTCCACTAGCCTGAAGCTACTCACTTTAAGATAGTTCTATAAAGGGTGCTATTATCAGAATATATTGTATTCCATGTTGCATGGAAGCTGTGGATTTTCAAAAGCTGTTGAAGTACCACTCCCAGCTGCTGACACCAGCATGGTTAATGGGAGAGATAGTAGGAGTTCAGCCACCTGTAGATAGTCACCAGTTCTACATGGAAGATGGCACAAGTGAGAAGTGTAACTGACACCTTATCCATGGAGCTACTTGTGGAGAAACTTATTTGCTTCCATAGTTCTATTCAAAGTATTATAGATCAAAGAATATAATATAAGGTATTTGACTTATTTACACGATGGGTATTTGTAATGTCACTATTAAGTTTTCAACTGTGTATTGATTGCTGTTCATTTGTTATTTGGGGACCCAATCTGGATACTCTATTATGGCTGAAGATACTGGATAATAATGAACTGAAGAGATCAAATGATGTCTGCACATTTGTGAAACCAATCTGAAGTATTCTTACATTACTGTTTTTTCCTTCAAATTGACTACTCCCTCTATAGTCAATTTGCAAACTTCCCCGCTAACAGAATTGACATAATTCACCCCATCAGTGTACCTCTAGGCATATTATGCATGTAAACTGTACACATGTAAACACAGACAGCTTAAATATTTTCAAATGATTATTCGCTCTTCTGTCCAAGTCCTTGTAAACTTAATGGGAAGGCAATCATGTGGTGTAGTAGATATGGCTTTATGCTTGGGCAGTTAGGGGCAGCTTTTAGCACCTATCAACCATGAACTGAATTCATCAGCAAGAAGAATCTAGAAGCCTTTGGCGAAGTTTGCCATCTTTACTTGTTCCTTCTGTGTCATCGGGCAATTTTGGGTCAGCAAGATCTGTAGGAATGTCAAAAAGAGACTTGTTATATCCTTTTAAGTAAGCACTAGCACAAAGTAGTCTGCTTTATTTTATTTCAGGGCTCTGTAAGTATGACTAAAGCTAATCAAGTCTACCTGAGATGTGATACCAATCCTGGAATATCTATGACTTGAGAAAGAAAGATGTCAGGTGACTAAGACCAATGTCAAGATTGCTGATATTTTAAATTGCAAGACATTTGATCCAGATTAAGTCAAGGATAGGAGACAATGATGTAAATCAGTGTTTTTTCAAACTTGGCAACTTTAGCTGGCTGGGAAATTCTGGGAGTTGAAGTCCACACATCTTAAAGTTACCAAGGTTGAAAAACACTGATGTAAATCAATGGGTCTCAATTCATTCAATTAAGACCCTTTGATTTCAGTGGGTCTATTATAAGTATAGCTACGCCTGATTTAAACCCACTAGAGTTTCCTTTGAATTCAGCAGGGTTTATTCCACAGGTTGTGCAAAAGATTAGGCTTTTGATTAGGATGTTTTTTATCTGTAAAGAAATATTTTATCTTGTTTGCACTTCTTCCAACACCACTGTATTCCATATGAATGAGTGGTTAGGAGCATCTAGAAGTATTAAAAAATAGTACCCCCTTTTAAAAATATTGGATACTCACTAGCTAGAAATATTAGCAAATCATAAAACGATTTGAAACCAGATTGGGAACCTGTCATGAGAATTATTATCATCAGGAAAAGTTTGTATCATACAATTGTCTCATCATATTTGTTTTTAATGAATAATAATCGGAAAAGTGCAGATATGATTACAGACTTACATTAGATTTGTAAATATAAAAGCAGCAGAAATGTTCTAGAACCAGAAAAGTGGTCTTGTGGGGATAGAATATACTTTTTAATAAAACATTTCAACAAGCCATCATTTATATTTTCCATTGTCTTGGTACATCAAAAGGATAGTTTGGGGCCAACACAATGTCAAAAAGAAAACATGGATGGTATTCACATGTCTCTCTTTGGAGTTATAGGTAGTAAATGAAATATTATATTATGTACCTGCAATCAGTATAATATTGGCTGCTATTTGCTAGGAATTTGGCTCCCCCCTTTTTTTATTGTATATATTTTAAAAGAGTATAGAAAATAGATAATCCAAATTGAAAAGAATATAGGAAATAGGAAATACAGACAAAGAAGGTAATATGGGCAATGGAATATGGATGAATAGCCAACAAATCTAAAATGTCATATACAGTGGTACCTCGAGTTATGAACGCCTCTGCTTACGAATTTTTCATGTTACGACCAGCTCTGGCCCCAAAAATTTACCTTGTGTTGCGAACCACCTCAAGTTACGAACCAGATCCGCGGCCATTTTCCCTCCCATGACACGTGGTCCGCGGCCATTTTCCGCCCCTGGCACGTGGTCCGCGGCCATTTTCCACCC